CTTGGCCGTTGGATCAATCACGATCCACGACCTGGATTAATTCACTTAAAGGGGACACCGTTTGGTTTAAGTTGGGGAATGGGTCGGCCTGGGGGTGAAGTGGATCGGGTCGTGTTGAGGCCTTGAGGTTGTTAGATCAAAGAAAATGGATGGCTCAGATTGATCAATTGAAACGGTGTCGTTTCACTATGCAGGGGCTGAACTGGATCGTTCGATCCAGTTTGATCAACGACTCAGATTTGAGACGCCAATACGGCGTCGTTTGGATTAATTGCAGGTGGACTGGATTTGACCGGGTCTTTTGGAATGTTTGGGCCTGATTTTTGGGTCTAAATTTCTGGCCCAGATCTGATTGGCCATATATTTTAACTCTTTTCATTTTCTTCTTTTAATTAACAATTCCTAATTAAATTGTAAAAATATTAAAAAAAAATAACACTACACAAATATTTATTAATATTTACAACAATTAACACACAAATTAAAACCTTAAAACAAAATCACACAATGATAACAGATAAAATAAAACGCATATTTTTGTGATTTTCTTTTTTAGAGCAAACTGACGGTTTTTATTAATTCCTAAATGCATAATTAAATCCTAATTATGCATACAACATGTATTTTTATATTTTTGTTTTCGTATTTTTCAATAAACTACAACAAGGTAAACATTTACGGACAAAACACAAATAATTATCCAAAAATGCCATGTAAATCCTAAAAAAAAATTGTACATCAAGAGAATTTTGTTTTATTTTTTGATTTCTTTTTGGAGTAGTTTTCGTGAAGCAAAAATCATGTGTTCACAACGTCCACATCCATTGATACCTTCACGTAATGATTTTGTCTTCTTTCAAACTTATTACATATTGCTACCATATCTCTCAAGGGAATGAGAATGAAGCAAATTCAATGGGATGAATTTCAAATTCTTTGCCCACAATCATACATGAATTTGATTATGGCAAGGGATAGAAATTTTACCACTTTGAGTAGTTATAATTTCTTTCAAACTCCATTAGAGTTACAATCAAAATTTATCGTCTTTGCTTGTATTTAAAATCAAATTATAGAATGTCAAGAATTTAAAAGAGAAAATAAAGTAAAATACTTACCTTTAATCCAGAATTTAACCATGAAGGAAGTTCATAGAACAATTGACAATCACTATGGTCAACCCCAAAGCTTCTATTCAATTGGTTAGAGTCTCGTGTTGATAGCGTGTTATAAAACAATAAAAGAAGAAGAATATTGCAGATAAAAGCATAGAGAGATGATTCTTATTGATTTGGAGTGAGTTACAATGGAATATGACCCCTCTATTTATAGGGAAAAAGTGATTTAGGTACCAAATAACAAGCCCTAAAATATCTCTAAATATAGACATTCATCTTAAATACAATTCTATTTATAACAGAGGGGTATTTTTAAATTTGAGTTGCAAGTTGTATTGTATTTTTCTTGAATTTTCCTCCGAGAATTTTGTTATATAAGATTCAACGTAACTTATCAAAACTGTAAATATCTAATTCTGTTTCAAAGATTAAAATAATTGCAAATTATTCTTTACAAAAAGATAATTCTTTTCAATATAATTTGCCTCGGTAGTTTTTCAAGTTCATCTTCTAAATTTTGTTTTGTAAAAAATTAAATCTTGATAACAAACTTATATATTTAAATTTTACGTCATTGAGTTGGACTAAAAATGTAAATCGAATAATTGAGTTAAGTTTTTCTTATTTCCGGCAGTTCGCTACTCCAATAGGCGACTATTGATTAATAACCTTTCTTGATTTTTTTCGGTCCTGTTATTATTTAGAAGGACAAATAAATTTACGTATTGTATACGGGCAAACTCGGTCTCGTGGTACACCTCGGTCTCCGACATAGTAAGCCAAACTCGAGATATGATAGCAGGGGGCCGAGACCAAGGTAGAGGTCTGATGAATTTGGAGTCCGAACCATAACACCCACCCTCGAGGATATTGGGCTCGTGATTCGGGATCGGTCCTAGCCGTGATATCCGTGACCGACCGAATATCACAACAGAGATATCAGCATGTATCGATAAGAAATCGACAATCAATTAATTATGAGATTTTTACCTTTTATAGAGTTGTACTTGATGCACGACTTCCCTACTATATAAAAGGGGGTATGATAACTGGTAAAGTACATTATAACATGCATTCCAAACCAATATATTATAATTTTCTCTGTCATTAGCTCTTTCTCTTGTTCATTTGTGCTGGCCGTGGTGAGCCCGGACCGAGGTCGATTGTTTCACTGAGACTGAAACTATATCACTCGCGTGGTTTGAATTATTTCTGTCTTTATATATTCTCTATTTACTTCATTAATTGCTTTGTGTCGAATTATACTACGTATTCTTAAAATCACTTACAAATTTAATTGTTATCCGATTTTAAGAGTTAACACATATGACCAAATTTGAGGCAGTCACCCACTCACATAAATTTCAAAATTACATATTACGTGTAATACTGTCGATCAAACTTTGCCTTAGTTATGCAGCGGTTATATTTTTTCAGGTGGCCATGCAAACACTATATTATTTAATACGTAAATTTATAGTGAGGTTAATTATGGCAATAGTTAGGAGTGGCAAAGGGGCGAAGCGGGACGGATATAGACGGGTCAAAAAGGGTAATGCAAAAAACGATTAAATTATCCGTCCTGACTCATATTTAATAAGGATAAAAAACAGGTTAACCGGCAAATAATATGAACATCCATATTATCCATGACTTCTTGAATATGTTCAATTTTGAGAGAATTACTAGTTTCCCGAACTTGAGGAACCCCTAATTTGAGGTTTTACAAATGTAAACATTAAACTCATTAGTTATCCAATGGTTATCCATTTTTTAAGTGGATCAAATGATTCTTTTTCATATTTGACCCATTTTTAAAAAGTTCATTATCCAACCTATTTTTGAATAGATAATATGAGTGAATAATTATTTTCTTTTAATCATTTTACCACCGCTAAGCAATACCAACCAAACGACCCTAAGTAGGTGTTTGGACATAAAAAATGTGAGATTTCCCTGCAAGCTTTTTCTCAAAAAAAAAAAAAAAAAAA